TGGCCATTGAACCGGAGTATATGTCGTATAATGTATTTCGAAAACCCTACATTGCCCTAAATTACCTGTAGATAAACTGCTGTGCCAAAGGAGTGCTTGAATACTCCGTGGGCTGTTATTTCGATCAGATTAATTTCAAAGCAAACGGTAGATAGAAGATTAGAATTGTAATAACTGCAGTTACTTTCCCGCCCTAAAACCTCTCATGCTCATATAATAATAAATGCTGCCGACAGGTTCGTTGCACTCGGGTCCGTTTTGGGTTGACATTTTCTAGGTTTCCATTTGTTATCGTAATCATTTAGATTATTAAGGTGCCATATTTCTCAGCTTTTAAGGTAGGGACAAATTTAGAAAGCATATTTTTTCTTCAAACCGTGCGTAAGGCAATGGATGTTGCTTATCTCTAATGCATCTTAAGGATTCGGACATCCACTTTTCAACAAATGCTGAATTTTGCGAATGACAATTGCATCTCTTACATAATTTGTATTTCCAATATATTAAAAAAGGGACATCACGACCAATCAAGAGTGTACGCAAATTACAAGTTTTTAGAGATATCAAAGAAATGATTGAATAAATAATTATGATCATGTACATGTTCTCGATAAAGGTATTTTCGTTATTAAAAAAAAAATCTCATCTGAGATGACGTTGTAAGAGATTTAAACAAAAAATGTTTACAATAAGCTAATTCATCCTAGGTCAGAAAACATTTCTTAGATATTGAGCATCTTCTATAAAACACAGTCATGGTGGAAATATAAATTGTGCAAAACACCGGTGGCGAATATGGCGCGAGCATGTTGTAAACTTAAGGGATTACTTTTGTTAATGGCTTCTTTTGCCACATTTAAAATAAATTTCATTCTAAATTTGTCGTCTCATCTCATATTACACATTTACATTTTTTTTCTCAATCACACTCTTCCTTTGCCACTGCGTCTCTATAATCATAATTCCCCCGGCATCTTTCTCGGTTCCTCCTTTATCCCTGCCCGTCTCTCTTCTCACCTTCTCTCCCCGATTTCCGCCTGGTATCTTGTGCCTTCGATCAACATGTTCCACCTCTTTTTCTCTCCATGTCTAAAGCCTCGATTAACCCCACTCACTACTCTCCTTAACCAGTCGACCACACCATCCAGAGACAAATCAAGAAGGGTAAGGGGGATAGAATTGGATAATACTCCAAATTAGGCGAATCTTGTCTTCCCGGGGAAACCAGAGAAGTCAATATTCTCACAATGAATGGGTCCCGAGGGATATCCTCCACACCACTTAGAAGCTCCCTGGAGACAAGGACGGTCTCAGTCATATCCATAGTGCCTCCGTGTCTCCTTACAATGATGAGCTGGAATTCCGCAGGTATTATAATCACGACCATACGACACCTGTTATTCGGTGTTGACTTTTAGGCGTTTTAAATGGAGGTGTGTTCTTTCTCATGAATGAAGAATTCTATATGGATTTTTCGACAATGCGAGATCTGGGATAAGTGAATACAAGTCGGAATGTATCTTTTCTTCCTTGAATATTAAACAAAATTTGATACCATTTCAACTTAAATCAAAGAATATTTGAGTTTACCATCACTCATCAATAACTGTTTTAACAATTTTTTTTAAACGTCATTTAAATCACTGACATCATTATCGTAGTTATAATTATAATGATGATGATGATTATTATTATCTCTATTATCAATATTATCATTATTATCATCATGATCATCATTATTACTATCATTATTATATTAATTATCATAATAATCTCAAACTTCAGCCTTCAGTATTCTTATTTTTTACTAATCTGTCAGATAAAAGTTACACAAATGCACCTTAGATACACACATGCACTCACGAAACGCACACACATTTGCGCCTATGCACCCCCTAATTCAGCTTTGTTTCATCATTCTCTCTAATATGTACACTCATTGTCTTTCATTTGTCGAGAGTTACCAATTTTTGTATTATATTATTACCTTTAGATTACATCACGTAATAAAAGGCAGCAGTAAAATAAAGTATACACACAGCCAAAGAAGTATCTGCTACATTCCGTAACAAGCATTTTTAAGAATGCGATTTCCTAGCTCAGGCATGGTATTACGGATGCAGGTTGTTCTTGCATAATTACAAGACACATGAGACTCATTTGCAAAAAATGGAAGGCTATACGAACAACGCAGTATTTACAGATGAAGACAACTACAAAGGGTAACCTTGCTCGAAACTTCTACCTTGAAATACGTCATAATTTGAGACCTCAATATTTCTTCTTTAGAAAAATTGCGTGCATCTAGTAGTATACAATTCCATAAATGGAGTTCTACTTCTCTGAATAGAACGCATAATGTGTTTTATTCTTTGATACACGATTCTAAAAACAGGCATTTGCTCTGAGCCAGCAGTTTATCAAAATACGAAGTTTTCTTGTCATTTTTTTTCATTTTACGTTGAAAATCGACGGATAAGCTAGGCCACTCCAGAATAAAATAACCACGCAAATAACCACGCAATAAGCGACTACTGCTACTTCGACTACTACTACTACTACTACTACTACCCCTACTAATACTTTTACTTCTACTACTACTACTTGTAGTAATAACAATTAATATTGTCAATATTTTTTTGTTCCTCTGGATAATATTGCTTTGTTGAAATATAAATTTTATGATTATTAATGCTGTTGTATATACGTTTTTTGCTTTAAATTTAGATAATGGTTAACTATAAATCATTGTAAAAAATATTTGTAAGGTCAGCAACGATCCCTCTCAAAGGGACATGGGATTAATACATTGTCATATATCGGCTTGACCGACATTATAATGAGTATAATTTGTAAATGAGTATGATTTATAAGATTTCACCTTAGAGAACGGAAGGCATCGAGGTTGAAAGCGCGTGGGACTATTTTGTTTTGCTAATCTTTAATGAGTATTTCTACCATTATTTACCGGCACTCGAATTATTGAACCAGAACTATGCCGACATGTAATTTATTTAAGGCCGATAGTTGTTACAGCTATTTGTATTGTGGAATATTTTAGACTGTTACTTTAGAGGTAAAAATATATTACGGTAAAAAGTGTGGGGGAGGGAAGCCTCCACTAACATGATTAGCTAGGCTTCGTCGTATGTTTTTATTTTCCTCTTAATAAGATTATCATAAGGTGATATTTTATTACAGATTTTGATAATTTACAATTAAAAAAAAGCTTTGCAATGAGACAACGCGAATAGGTACTAACTTGCGACTTATCGAATATTTACATAGAGGTGTAACATGATCTAAACGATTTACATATTTTTAAAAAAACAGTCTATCTGATGGTGTTGTTTGCTATCTGCAATATTATAAATGTCCACACTTTGAGGAAAACAAAAATATTCGTCTTAAGGGAGGTGGCAATGTCGAAAGTGACAAGAAAGCAAGTATACATGAAACTATGTCTCGGAATTATGTGAAAATGAGTTTAAATATGCACACTTTTATTATTTGAATCACACAAAATATATTCACCTCTTCAACATATGCGCTACACAATTTGTAAGTGATTGCATCTAATTTGTAATATCTTGGAGATATTTCAAAATTCAGCAAATAGAAGCCGATCTGTTATTACATATTCTTTAATCCTATAAGATATCCATCTTCTTAATACTGAGAACAAATAATGCAGTTTAACAAATTTGTTTCCTGTGGGAAATGAAATAATATCAGATAAAACTAACAAATTACGTCGGAATCACCGCAACCTATTTCACCGAATTCATTTTGTTCTTCAGCTAAACAAAACTATAAATGAAATTTAAAAAAAAAAAAAAAAGGAGGGAGATTAATAGACGCCATCATTTCGTCAACATCTCCTACAAAATGTGATAGATTATTTAGAGCATCTCTCCAAATAAATCACAGGCGCAATTATTGCCGTTACAGTTTGGAAGAAGAATTAGTCTCCGAACAATCATTAGGCTAGCAATGCCAGCAATGAAGGTGACAAGAGGCAATTATAGAAATGTTATTGATGTATACCTTCACAGAAAGTTCGCTTTGGGAAAAAACGCTCATAAATTATTGAGGTGGATATTTTTCCATGAATTGAAGTGATGATATATGTCAAGAGCAGTAAGATTGATATACTTAGTAGTTACAAATGTACTTTTATATTGTTATCAGCTAAGTGGTTTGAAAAGAAAATTTAAAAAACTGCTGATAGTACAAATGCATTTATATGCATCTCTTAGCAGGGGAGACTTTTATGAAGAAACCATAAAATTGAATAAAAAAATGACTTTTCTTTGATGATATAACAGCTTTGCCTAGTTTTTATCTCAGCTTTGAAATGAAATCAAGACAAAATGCAGTCCTCCTGATCAGAAGTAAATTTTGCATGAACACGATTACAAAGAATGTCTAAAAATTCATCCCAAGTCAATTTCAATAGCCCTATCTATCATCTTTTGAAATGTGCGAACATTACGATGAAGTATTACGTAATCTGAACATGATTTCTACGGGATATACAAAAGGATATTAAAGTTGCCCTTGAGATGAAATTTGGAAAGTCTTTGCGATTTTGTTCACATAGGATTTCCTCCTTTTTTTTACTGATAGAAAATAAAGTAACCACGCTTTCTTTATAATTCGATATTCCAATTCACTGCAACTACCTGTTTTATATGACTTTAAGAAAAACAACGTTTCATGACAAACATTTATAGCAAAAAGATAAATAAATTGAACAAATTGTGAATACAATTGACATCATCACGTTCGTAAGAGAAAGCCTGTTTTGTCTTTAATTTTGGCAAAATTGACTTTTCCTGAAGTAAAGTAATATTTGAATAAATGGAATCTAAAATCATTCTGAAATAGTTTCACGACCTGCCACCGCATGGTCGTTAATATGGTACGATTATATATATATTAACAAAAAGAAATGCCTTTGAAGAGCGTGAAAAGAACAAATAGCGAACAAGACTCACCTTAAAAGTGTGTATGCGATAGACAGGCGACGGGTGGCGGTTTGCAGTTTTGCTCGACTATTATATTACTGTTGTTCGTCTTGCTTTTCCACTACACTGCATAAAAAGAGAAGGTCGGTCTATTGTTTAGATGTCCTCCAAATACTCTGTCTTTTATCCCTAAATGGCTAATCTCGATGTTGTTCGTTGCTTCCTTTCTCACTCACTGCCTCCTTGCCCGTAAACTCGACCATTTTATACACTCATTCAGGCAACCTGTCATGGTTGAGGAGTTGCCATGGTTACCCGCCGACAGACTTCCCGAGTCACTTTTTCTTCTCAATCGCCTACCACTTTCCAGACAAGGCACGGAAGTTTTTACTGCAAAGACAACACTGTCACCCTCAAAATAATCATATTCTGGTCATGAAAGAATGTTCGAGGCATGCAGCTATGTGTTGTGATGCTAAATGACTTTATTCTTTAAGTTGATCTTAATTAGCAAATCTGAAGAGACCTGTATTTGATCAACACTGTATTGTGTAACCTCAACTGTTTCCGCCTATTACGCACAAGCCACGCCCACCTTCTCTATGATTGGTCAATGCATCTTTACGACATGGCTCTCACAAAGTATAGTTGGTAGCATGGTAGTTCAGTTCTCGCATGATGGATGCTTTGTAGTACGAGTATTTACGGATGTCTACAAAAAATGCTTTACACCCTCTTTTGAAACGTCACACTACGTCATAATGTCGTCATAAGACCCTTAGTTTGACTAAAAAAGGAAACTAGTCAACAATTTCCCACTATAGGCAATTACTGAAATAAATTATGCGCTTGTAACTATTGTGACATTTAATATCTTAGTAATCTCCACTTAAAATAAAATTTAAAATGTTATGAATAAATAGAAATATTCATTAATTTTATAAAAATTCATTCATATTTTATTTAATTTTTATTGATTTATTTTTATTTTATAGATTTGCTGATATTCATTGTAGGCCTATTCCTTAATTTTCTATTTGTTTATTTCTATTCATTTTGCAAATATTGATTGATAGATCGTGTTGGCAGTAGACTTAAGGTATTATTCAACTTCGGTAAAGTCAAATGGTTATATAATAATTTCTTCTCCATTCAGAGGGGAGAATAATGATCTACTTTTAACCATAAGGGTACTACCATAAATTCATTGATTACAGGGTTAGCACCTTTTTGAAGCAGTCAGCCTCTGTGATGGATCTCACTACTCTCTCAACTTTATGTCTAATATAGGCCACACAGGATTATTTAGATACGACGACTATATATAAAAAAATAAAAAAAAACACAACACAACACAACACAAAACGAGACAAGACAACACAACACAAAACAAAACCAAACCCCAAAATAAACATTTAAACAGAACAGTGGATGTGCTGAGCGCGCACAAAGACCTACTAGGGGTATGGTTTAAATTGTACGTTGCATGCCACGCTTTGAATTTCAAAATGCATGCATGCTCAATAAAAGAGTACTTTTGTACATTCCTATCATAACCCTTACGAGAATAACAGATACTACGTGGTATAACATGTACGATTTAGCATGTATGCACCAACAACAACAACAACATAGAATTGAAAAGCGGTGGACAAACACACACACACACCCACACACATCCACACGCATGCACGTGCACGCCCACACGCCACACACCCACACACCCACACACCCACACAAAATATAATACGACAACAAAACAAAAAAGGGAATAATGTTACATTGTCTATTCAGCTTTGAGAAGCGGTATTAATCGAGTGTTAAGTTCTGTTAGAAATTAAAGTAAATTGTTTGTTTGTAAGAGACTTTTTTTTTATTCATGTGAAAGAATATCATTAGATGAGACTGTCATGAACGGATTGCTCTCAAAATTATTCATTTTTCAAATGACTAATGTAGTTTGGATCAAGTGTTGGTGACACATGTCTGTACAGTCCCTTAACCGATTCTCCGTGTGCAGTGCGTTTCGTTGTGTCTGGTTTCCCGTGCAACTTAGTCAGTTCATTCAATTTGCTAAATCCCAAACCTCAACACACTAGTAACCCCGCTGACGCAAAATATGATATTAATTCACTCTGAAGTCTCGGTGGTTTCTTTCATAAAATGTGGTGACCAGTAATCGACATTAAGAAGTGTTAAAAATGCCCAGCTGAGGTGGGAGTATCAGATAAAGTTCGGCTTTTGTTTTATGGCAGCAATGGCGAACCAGACCAACATGCCAATCAAGTTTTAAGCGATGCCAATTAATGAGGTGTGCTAATCGAAGTTTTCCCGCAGGTTCAACCGTACACTACTCACAAGCCCATTATACCTTTATAAAATCTTTTGTTTTTCCTAAGGGAATTCAAAATGGCGGTCGTACCTTACGAGTATAATCCTGTTGCACCTAACCCATAGAAATGACAATACATTGATGTAAAACAGAAAGTAGGCCTCTTACTGGACTTTTTCAATAAAGGAAATGAAGAGGTTTATTATACTTAGATTATATAGCCAAGATAATAAATTGCTATTATATCTAAGAGACTGATTGTTCCTTTACCCGCTATTATTTTGATTACGTCTTTGTTTTGTGAGTGTATTTCATATATTGCATTGAAGGTGAAAAGTATCACTAGCTGTTTGTTTTTATATGCTATCAGTAATGCTACGAAAAGTGTACATTTCTTATAACCCCTCGTAATACTGAAATTCCCTTCACGTATTTTAATTTACTTTAACCCCAACCTGGGTATAGGATCACATATAACAAAGGATATACCTCAGACTTACTTCATTCGTTAAACCAAATTTTTTAACAAAAGGTTATGATACAGGCCTTAGTGCTTAAAATGGTTTAGTATGGTTTTTGATTTCCTACCTACTCGAACCTTATTTTCATAAATGAAATTGTATGTTCTATTCAAAATGGTTGCAAGAAACTTACACAACAATATTATGCAATCTGATTTAAAATGGAATTTACATGTTAATGATTTTGTCAACAGTTGCAATAGAAAACTGTACATGTTGAGAGAACTTAAGAAATTCAATTTACCTTTGAAGGATTTAGTGACAATATACGCAGGTTATATACAACCACTTTTTTAATATTGTGTTCCAGCGTTCTATAGCAGTCTTGCAGTAGAACAAAATAATAATCTTGATAAAATACAACGTAGAATATGTAAGATTATTTTAGGGCCTAGTTAAATTGCCTATTCTAATGCATGTCAAGCATGCAATTTATCAACTCTTGAGGAGAGGAGACTAGCACTTTGTAAAAAATTCGCAAACTGTTTTTCAAATCACTCTATTTGTCAGACCTGGCTACCACAGAAAAAACACACTAATATATATCTTCTCCGTATTCCCAGTTATCAGCAAATTCAATTCAGAACAAACAGGTTTAAAAATAGCCCACTGTCATTTATGGTTGATATACTCAACAAAAGTTGAAAAAAAGTTGTTTTTATTACTTTCATCGTTATTGTAGGTATATACTGAGTGCTTATCTCCCCCCACCCAAAGTCGGCTGTTTAAAATGTGCATATTTTAATCCTTTTACCATGCTTGTATGGACTTTTATGACAAAATAGGAAATTTGTAAACAATGTGTTTATGGATTTAGTAACAGAATCTAAGTCCTATTATTTATATTGCTAGTTTTTAACATGTATATCTTTAAAAGTGTTATCTACTGTACCTAATATGTAAACAAGGTCATTCCAACCATGGCTGTCTTTCATATAAAATGTATTTTTATGAACCATGCTTGTGCTATAATAATTAACATTTTGAATTGAATTAAAACCGCTAAACCAAATCAAATCAAAATTAAATCAAATATTTAGCGGTATATAACAATTAATGCCGGTAAGATGTGACTGGGGCTTTAAATTATCACCAAATTTTCATCCATGCTGTCTTTCTCTCTATTTTCCCTCACACGCCTCTTTCCTGTGTCGTCGCTATTCATCATAAGTGATGCATTCAAGACGCTATTCTTGAGTGTTGTATTCAGGTTGTCCAAATTTCCTGCTTCGTTCCATTTTAGTAATTAAGGGACAAACTGAAAGGCACGAGTTCCGGGCAATTTTCTTCCTTCTACCTTCCTCCTAACTTTGCAGCAAATATGCATGATGATTTTTCATCAAACAAATTGGTTCGACAATCAAGATTCATATTCGTTACAATCAACGTCATGTCATACTCTTGAGTTGGGATTTATATTGCGATTACAACTTCTTTTTATTTCTTTTTATCAAAAGATTAAAGGCAGCTATCTTAAAATCAGTGGGTGGCAGGTATCGGGTTTGAAGTTACCCCCATCAGACATCCAAGTAAGCAGGTAGGCGCTTGTTGATAAGTTAGAAGTGAACTAACGGCTTAATTTTTTCCCCCAAAGAACTTTTAACTATAGGGATTTATGTATTACCAAAGACAAGGCAGTAGCTCATCGATTTGGTTTCAAACCCGGACCCCCACACCACCCCCCCCCCCGTTTCTGAGGTCACCAACCCGCATTCACAGTTGGTTGTTAACCTGGAGTCAACTCGGATAATGATACATGGCCCAGCATCGTCCAGTCCACAATGAAATTTAACCCGAGGGATAATATCCCGGGCCCCTGTCACTCAAAATTTAATTTCGACTAACCTGAGTCAGGCGCGGGCTTTACCCGGACATCACACTATAGAGCGACCCAATACCTTCATCACTTTTGTCATTAGTTTTCCGCATTGTGTCTTTGTTTAATAGACAATTAAAGAGTAACGCTTCTAAGACATGAAACATGAATATATAACAAACCACTCATGTTAATTAATTACCCATCTAGTCATCTCATTTACCCAATACCTTCATCACTCTTGTCATTAGTTTTCCGCATTGTGTCTTTGTTTAATAGACAATTAAAAAGTAACGCTTAGACATAAAACATGAATATATAACAAACCACTCATGTTAATTAATTACCCATCTAGTCATCTCATTTATTGACTGAGAAAGAAAACTTAAAGTGAACCACGCCAACAATATGGTTAAAATTGATTTAATGAAAATCCCTTGTAAACATAAAGTGTTCGTCAGCTTGTAAGCATTTATTATATCAGATAATAGGCACCTAGCTCTCAATGCATATAATGAGAAGTCGAAGCGAAATAATTCCAAGTTTCATAATCTTGGTAAATGGCTTTTACTTACCACTATCCAGCTCTTCCTCTTGCGCCCCAGATAGGAGCCCAAAACATTCATTCATATAGCCATCTTTCACATACTGGTTATTTCAGACATAAACGATTGATAAAAAAATACACGCAAGAGGCAGTTTTATTGTACTGTCATTTGCCACGTTGTACCACACAAAATCACGCACACACACACACACACACACGCGTTCGATAGGTAGGGTTAAGATCGATGGT